AATCCCATTTCCCATTCACTCTAATTTTAAGACTATTTCATCTTAAACAAAAACTCAACAATTTCATCTGTACAAGTAAATGCTGCTCTTCATAAATTTTCTATGGCTTTCATTGATTCCATAAGTTAAGGCCTCATCTTTTCGAACAAAATTGAGGCTTCACTTCCTATGTTTCAATGCTGCATGTGTTCCCATGATGAGGCTTTGGAAAAATAACAATTCATATTTCCATCCGTATAACAACAACCACTTCAATTCCAAATTGAGTTATATAGAAATCCTTGTTGAACATGTTGCTCCATTTCATGTTAGACCAAGAAAGTAGAAATTTAGACGTGACTTAGAGAAAACATTACTTCGTCTTACTTAATTAATTAAGAAAAAGGAGATCGAAAAACATGAAGTAGAAAACAGTAATGACAACTACATAAGAAAATTAAAGTTGCAACATGCAAATGCATAATACTAATAAGTAAAAGTGGTAGAGTAAAATCATATTAAGTGACTTTAGAAGCACCATACATCATAGTAAAACTCAATGCATAATGAGGAGATTAATTACATAGCAGGTAAAGAAAAATCCAGCAGAGATCGCCGGCGCAAAACCATCGCCGGCCACCATCGCCGGTGAAGGTGCAATGTTGTCCTCCGACCCCACGTCCTGAGCCATCGTCATCTTCAAGCAAATAACCATCAAAATCATAAGAAGAAAAATATAGGAAACCCTAAGGCAAGCCATTGATGACAATGTTCTTTTCTTTCTTTTTGGGGTAGAAAGTGATGGAGATTGGAGAAAGGCAGTATGTTTATAGCGAAACAAAGTTTGGAAGTTCATGGTTGTGTGATATTTTAGAGTGACAACAAAGAAGAGGTACAGATTCTGTTATTTGCATGTATGCCATATGGCTAGTGGGAATTCTTGTTGGAGAAATGGGTGTCATATTATTATAGGGTAAGGTTTGACACGTTTTGCTAAATTATCAATCGAATTTATGCTTTGTTCCCGTTTCAATATTGTTCTTCACAAAAGGCTCTCCCTGTGGAAATTGTACTTAATTGTTTCTTTTCTATTTTAGTTTGTACTTTGGTTGGTGGGATAAGCTAAGGGATAACAATTTCGGGATAATAAAATTATTTTATTTTAAATTTGGTTTAGTATTAATTAATTTGTATATGGTATTTATTGATCTAGAGAAACTATACGACAATGTCCCTAGGAGGTTCTATGGAGATTAAAGGTGTTCATGTAGCACACATAGAGTGATTAAGGACATGTACCGTGAAGCTAAAATTCGAATGAGGATTATGGAAGTAGACTCAGAATATTTTTCTGTTGTGATGGGGTTGCACTATAGGGCTCAACTTTTAGCCCGTTCTTATTGCCTTAGCGATGGACACATCAACGCGCTATATTCAAGGGGAGGTGCCATGGTGTATGTTATTCGCGGATGAAATTGTACTGATTGACGAGACGCGATTCGGTCTTTTTCAGTATCTTGCTACTGTTATTGCTTGTTGTTACTGCTTTATTTCTTCTTTCCTGAGTTGAGGGTCTATCAGAAACAACCTCTCTACCTTCCGAGGATAGGGATAAGGTCTGTGTACACACTATCCTCCCTATATTCTACTTGTGAAATTCAACTAATTTTTTTGTTTGTTTGTTTGTATTCTTGTGTTAATTGATTTGATCAGAAACTATTTTATATTAAAATGGTAGAATTATTTATCTCATAAAAAGGATGAATTGCTAATCTCATGGAATATTCCAGCCCACAAGATGAGGGTAGGACCGAAGGGGTATCGTCAGCAACTAGTGAAGCAAAAATCGTTTTTAAATGGAAAAATTGGTGAAGAGGGTTTAGAAATAGGTAATTAGGAAAAATAAGTGTATTTTAGTATAAAATTTATCACTCGATTATTGTCAATCAATATACATTTTATCTTAATTTATTATGTAACTAAAATAAATTAGAGGCCCCTATATTATTGGTATTTTTTTTTCCATGAATTATTTCACAGTTTTGATCTGCAATATTAATGACAAGTGCTTGCGAATAAAAACTTATTCACACCAAATAATTATTATGAATAATTATGTTCAATGCAATTCCAAAGAGTTCTTAAAAAACTTTTTTTTTTCTGGTCATCAATTTTTTTTTTTTTTGGGGTGTGATTCAGACACAACAATTCACCTTAATTAATCCCATTGATAGTTTTGAGGGTTGATCGATATCTCGCCATCAATCTTAAATAAATGCAAAATGATAAAACGCAGTTAACCATTTCATAGCAAAAACTCAAAATAACAATATAATAATATACCACAAAATAATGATTTTATTTTGTTGGTGATAATCATATATATATATATAATTTGTTACACAAAGAGAATTTCCTTCAATTGTTCATCATCTTCCCTTTTTTTACCTTACTAATTGATCTTCTTGTCCCCACCATGATTATAATCCATTTTCCCCTCACTTTGTGTGAACAAATTTAATTAGTGCATGTAATAAGCGAAGAAGGACAAAAAAGTAGCCCCAACCAAAGTTCCCAGAGCAGGTAATGCAGCAGTGGCATCACTTGTTGGTGCAGGGGCAGGTGCAGAAATTGGGGGCAATTGAGCCATAGCTGCACTAATTGAGCCTGCAACAATTAGGGTGACACAAGCAATCTTCTTCATCTCCATTTTTCTGTTTTGAAAAAAAAAAGTGTTTCTTAAAAATTTGTGTTTGATTATTTGTTGCTTTGGTGAATTGAATATGGTTGAGAAAAAGGTTATATATATAGGTGTGTGTAGAGATATTTAGTAGAATTTTACTTGGATAATTTGAACCACATTTGCGTTTATGGTTAGAGAATCGTTTGTTAGATTTCAAGAGTTCTCAATTTCTTCATACTTCTAAAATTTAGCGTTTCTGCTGGTCTTGTTTTGTCCTGTTTTTTGAGGTCAGAAGAAAGTGTAAACATGAAAATATTTTGACAAATTTTTAACGCTTATATTAGAAGAGTTCATTAGATTTTAAGGGTTGTTATTTTTATTTTATTTTATTTTATATAATATTTTAGTTCTTTTATAAGTTCTTATAGTTGTCTCCGCTATATATTAGTATATGTTATCATTATTTATCATATTTAGTTTTAAGATTGTTCCTCTGTCAGGTAAAAGCAGGGGTGGATTTAGGGGGCGGAAGGGCCGAATTCCTTCGTCGGAAAATTACATTATTTATATAGGGATAATTTTTGTTTTTACGTATAGATATAATATGTTGAACCCCCTCTACACAAGCCAAAAGTTTGGCTAGTGGTCAAGGGAGTTTAGATTTTGTAGAAGGTTGGTTCAATTCCTGTCAGTTGCAATCTAGTTCTTTTTTCATCAGACATTTTTTTAAATTTTAAACGAAACGATGTCGTTTCTCTTCGTCTCTTTTAATATGTTTTCCCCAAAAAAAGTGACTGATTTTGGGTTAAAAAAAATTCCTAAATCTCTCTCTCTCTTCGTTGCCTTACTCCACTCCCTCTCTCCCTCTTCGATCTGTCTGCCTCGCTGCCGCTGCTTGCTATTCTTCTGTCATGGTATTGGCATCCCCGGTAAAGTCCTTGTTCTTTCTAACTTTTTCAGAATTTTATTAGTGTTTTATTGTTGATTCTTAATTTAGGTTAATGACTCTTGTTAGTTGTTTCTTGATTCTTGAATTTGTAGACTTTAATAATGTAAATTATTGAGTTTTCTACTGCATTTGCTTTGATAAACTTATGGAAAATAATTACTTCAAAACAAACAGATGTATTAGTTTTAATCCAACATAACGTTAGCATGAGTTTCGACGATAGTTTAATTCCCATTTAGATTTATTTTTTTATGAATCTGTTTGACATTATATTTAGATTCAACAAATTTCGAAGAACTCATTCGATTAAATTTTTACTGTTCACTTCTTTATAATATTGAAACCCTTACTCGGAGTCCTGGAGGATGGACCCACCACTAGATAAAAGTATTCAACTTTTTATTCTTTAAAGTATAGACATATTGTCGTTACATTTATTAATATTTTTTGTGTTTGATTTTAATTTTATCTCTTTTTGTTTTTAGAAAGTTGAAGATCACAACACAGATTGACAGGAAAAAACTTCTAGAATTATAAACATGAAACTGTAAGTACTACAGACTAAATTTATTAGTATAGGGATTGTATGAATCTAATTGCACGAGGATGATCGTCGAGGTTAATGAAATGTATTATCTAGTTAAAATGTTCCACCTAAAGTATAAATGCGTCTACAACCGTGATATCAAGTGCTTGTAGGATAGAACCAAAACTTATGTATATTGCACCCAGGGACGGACCCACATGGTGCCAAGGGAGTTTAATTGAATCCGCTTCGTTTAAAAATTATATTGTGTATATAATTAAATTATATTCAAAATGGAAAAGATGAGCATAGAAATAATATTTGAACCCACTTAAGCCAAGCAAAATCTCGGTCTAGAGGATTCAAAATCATAATGGATAGCCGGTTTCGAATCCATACAGATACAGTGCATATTTCCATTTTTTATTTTGTCTGCATTTGAAACGGCGTGTGTGCAAATTAACCATACGATACAGTAGGCGAAGACAAATTGTCTTTCAAATCAACCAACTTCCCCTTCTAAATTTACTAGATAATTTTAACAATTTGTAGTCTAAACTTATTTTGATTTGTCACAAAAGATTAGCAGATGATTTTGCTGATGCTATCAGTGGTCTCTATTTGTGCAGCAGTCAAAAGAGTGGCAGCTCTAAATCTGCATGGTGACTTGGAGTGTAATATGTTTGTAGTAATGAATAAGGGCAAAGCTGCTGCAAGAATGACAATTCTGTTTGTATATTTGTCCTGAGATTACATAGTTAAGAAATTAGAAATTTCATCAGGTAGCTATCTAGTCTAGAGTAATGTTGAACAACTTCATTGTTTGCAGAAGAAAAAGAAGAAGCTAATTATACAAAGGTGATGCGTAAGATAAAAAGAGTAGTTTATTAAGAGAAGAGACAAAACATTGCCACATTGATCTAAGTCTTAAAGGTAACACAAGAAAGAAATAGATTAGTAATTCCTAGTTATTCCATCATTTGTTTGTAGGCCTTTCCCTTTAGAGGCGTATGACTTGCTGAGATTCTAATAAATATCTGCTCCTGAGATGATACAAGATTAGATATATATGCGGGAAACGCAGATCTAATTATTATGTTCTAAAAATATTTAATTAAAAGAAAAAATATGAGCCAAACGTTGTTTTAGCTTTAGCTTACCATTCTTTGTAACCTAGATTAACGGTAAAACCATACATATTGATAGTATCGCAAATGGAGAGGGGAATTTCCAGAGCTTTTTGGCCCACTTCCTTTTGCTGTAGAAAAACTTGCTGTAAAACGACAAATCATACAAGAAGGTGTAAGTTAAATAATTTCCAGTTTGCCCGAGGAATAGAGGCATACTGTTGCAACATTGAAACTGTCAGAGCAACAATGCCGTATGTCCACAGCAGAAGCAGAGCGAACTTTCCAGTGTTGCAGACATTCTAATTTCATACAGAAAATGTAGCACACACAGTCGTAGATAAACAAGTGATGAATAAGTGCAGAAACATCCAAACCGGCCATAGATAGTTATCTCCTAAGCACATGTTTCAGTAAAACTCAATGTCATATTTTGAATGTTAAAAAGAGTGCAGAAAGCATAATTTTGTGAAAGAAAAGTTTTAACTTGAATTGGTAATTTCTACCAGAGAAAAGAATAGATGATATATATCTAAGTAAACCTAGGAAATATGAAAATCTCATTTAGTTTGCCCTTCTCAGAGGCATATTGTACCATTGTGGCCCATCACAAGTCTATTCTGATATCGAAGCATTAAAAAGTTGAAAAACATTAAGCAATATAGTTAATGCAAAAAAATAATTTAACATATCATACTTTGGAAATAGTTCGTGCTAGAAAATAGAAGCATATTACTTGTTCTCTTTCTTTTAGCTGGCCTTGTCTCTCAAGTTTGATAATGGAAGTAAATTTTAGCACTAATAGTAAAGTTTAATATTTTTGCCAGTAAACATAACGAAAATGTCATCATCTTTATATATAGTACAAGTCATAAAAAATTATCATCAGTAATTTGGACATACTATATGTCATCTCGACATGTAATATTTTGCTAGTATACTTCGCCATCTTCAATAGTACCTCTATAAATAAGACAACTCCAGTAGGATAAGGAAATCATAGCTGACAGACCTTGCTTGTAACAGAATTATTTAACAAAATAATTTACTTTCGGACTTCAGGCAAATGGTTGTACTCTTTACAGAATCCAATGGCTTTGGTATGTTGTAAAGCTCACCATAATCTAATAGAAAAAGATTCCACTAAATAACAAAGAGGTGAATGTTGAAAGGAATAGATGCAGATGATGAACGCAAAGTCTTAAAATGCTCTACACCTCCTTCGAAACTCTCAGAAAAGTAATACAGACAATTCACTTTCTCAATTCTGTTTAATCTGACTTTCTTATTCCATTTTTGTTGTATAAATGCAGTGCAGTGCAGTTACCATTAACCATCTTCTTGTTGTTTGGCTCCAAGTTAAAATTATAAATACTACTAATTAAGTAACTATTTATCAATATAATATTATTAACCACAAGCTTACCAACAAAAGAATAATCATAAAGCAATATAAAATTTTGTGGGAGTACCTGCAATAGCCTTATTTGGTATATCAAATATCAAAGGTAGAGCCTCATTCTCATCGGTCTTGTGTCTCATCAACACCAACAAATATTTTCAATCCTAAGGAAAGAGCGTATGCTGCCACATCCCCAACGCTCCAACAAACTGATAGATTAATGATTAATAGGTTAGATATCAAAATATATTAACCCCTTTCAGCAGGAACAAAAATAGAGCATATCGTGTTCGTGGACATGTGAAACACTTATCCTGTTGTTTCTATTTTATGTTTGTCACTGACCACTTCTCTTCTGCTCCTTTCACATTCTTCTCTTGCTGTTCGGGCTTCCAAAAAAATTCAAACAGAACAGACAAGGCAGTTTTTTATGTGAAGGAAAAAATAATAGAATAACGTCTCATCATCAATATTTATTGAGCCTTCTGTATTCGTGTTTCATAATTGCAAGATTTCAAGTATTAGATGCATCTATTCAAGAGGAAAATCATTTACCTGACAGCTGATGCTCTCTCCAAGCAGTATTACAACTTCAGAATCTCCATGCAAGGATTCAGCATACAGAGAAATCTCAGTAAGCATCTAAATGATAATAACTTAACTTTTAAAGCATTGACGATCAAATTTTTGCAGAATACTGATCAGTTGTAGGTTAAATCTCAAACAAATGACTGCTCATAGTATAACTGTCAATTCACAACAGGGACGCTTCAATGATTTCATCATATACTATATTTTGTGTTGTATGATCATCGTTGCTATCAGCTATTGGTGGTCGGATCAACATTTTCACTGCACCTGAGCTTTTTGCTCGCGTTAAAGCAACACAAAGCTGATCATGTGAAAAAACACTCTCGTAAATAAATTCCAACAAAATCTAATGTTTGACCTTGAGCTTTATTAATAGTCATAGCAAAACATAATCTAATCGGAAATTGTGTTCTTTTGAAAGGAATAGGTAGTTTTTCATCTTGTGAAGACAGCAACGGTATTCTTGGAATAAATACGTTCGTGTTTTTTGAATCACCACTTGCAATTTTTGCGCTTATCACATGCCTCTCAAAATTACAACATATAAGTCGTGTTTCATTACATAAACCTTCGCAGGGGTTTAAATTTCGTAGTAAAATAACGGGACAATTTATTTTCACGGTTAATTTATACGGAGGTAAGCCAGCTGGGTGTAAAGTATGCAAGAAATCTTCATATTGACTTTGATCAGTCGTTTCAATAGTTTCATCAAATGCTACATATGTTCTAGATTCACAAAAAAATTGGGTTATGAGCATATCGTTTATTTCGTCAACAAAATCATTTTTTGTTGTTAAAATAACACGAGAATTTGTCGAAGACATATCACAAGTACATGTGTATAAATCCGGATAGGTAATTCTAAATAACAGATTCAATGATTCTTTTTCGCTTATAAAAGGAACATGAAACAATCAGAAATTTCAATCTTACCTTGAGAATTTAGTTTTTCTTTTCCGCTCCCTATTCGCATCAAATAGTCGCAGAAAGCAGGATCTGTTCTTGCCGCATGTTTATTGATAATTGCAATTTTTCGAGTTGGTTCCAAATTTCAGAACATAATAAACTTTCTCGTATGAAATTTTTTTTTCCACTCCGAACAACTGGAAGAGTTTGTCTAAAATCACCATCAAAGACGACAACTTTTCCACCAAAGAGTGTCTTTGTATCCATTAGATCTTTCAGTAGTAAATCAAATGCCTCTATCAATTGTTTTTTGGCCATAGATACTTCGTCCCACACAATTAGTTTGGCATTTTGTATCAATGATGCAAGTGAACTTTGCTTACTGATATTACATGAGAAATGTTCATCAATATCAACAGGAAATTTAAAACGGGAGTGAGCAGTTCATCCTCCGGGAAGAATTGAAGCTGCGACACCAAATGTTGTTGTTGCTAGAGCTACGAATCCTTTTGATCGTATAGTAGCCAATAATGCGCGATATAAAAATGTTTTACCAGTTCCTTCGGGACCATCAATAAAGAAGCTCCACACTTATTCTTAAATATTCTATCGAGGATTATATCATATGCTTTTCGCTGATCATCGTTCAATTTTGTTTCTAGTAACAAATCTTCTTCTCTAACAATTATATTTCTTTCAAAATGAGAATCTTGAGCCTCCCTAGCAGCAGAAGAAGCTAATATTCTTTCTGGTGTGAGTGTAAATTCATTTATGTCACGACCCATTGAATGCAAAATGTCATTAATATGGTTTAAGGCCATATGACGAATCTGTTTTGAGTTTAAGTTTGGCAAAATCTTGAAGTCTTCGGATATAGAATCTTCAAATTGATTCCAAAGTTCTTTCGGGTTAGCAGGATTACAATATACAAGAAGTGTAGCAAATAAACGTCTTAAACTATAAGGTATCTGATATCTTACAGCTTCTAACATACAATCAACTAAGTTATTATCACATTGTAATAAGCCTCGTTTTTCTGCTCTTCTCTAAATGTAGTGCAACATACTCCATTTACGGTTAGCAAATGTTGGTATGATTTTGGTCCTCTAATGTTCATTAATAACAATCTAAGATAGTACCTTTCTCCTTCTATTGGATGGCATGTGACTATACGTCCAATAAAAGCACCTTGCTTTCGACGTGTCCACATTTTATATTGCTTGGACCATACAAAGTATTTTGAAAATTCCTTGTAGAGTAAATTTAACTTCTTTGCATCCTTATTTCTCTATTCATCACAAAGAATTCTGTCAACATGGTTTTTCTGATCATGGGGTTATTCACAATTGAATTTATGGTCTGTGTGCTTTTAAAAGAGATAAATTGTTGTCCATCAAGATGTAGCTGAAGATGGTAAACAGATGCAGTCATTTCGCTAATGGAAAAACCAAATAAACGCCAAGTTGCCTCCGGTGGAGAAACCCATCTAGTAGATTGATATTCTTTGATCTCGCCTATTTCAATATTTGGATCGTCAGCATGGACGAAAAAGGCAATTTTATCATGTCCCTTACAAATATATTTATAAAGGTATTTAACAACTTTAATATCAGAACAAACTTCAACATTAATATGGCAGTTAAATTTGCTCAATAGATATGGATTGTAAGGAACAACCCATGAATTGTCAAGAAATTGGTTTCTAATATTTGCAAATTTACCGTTATTTCGCCTTCTATAAATTGGGTATCATTTTCCCCCTTATATGTATGATCAGTAAATTCTTTTGGATATTTGAACTTACAATATTCTCTGTTCTTCATACAAGGACATTTAGGATTTAAGCTACCACAAGGTCCATGCATCATATGTTTAGTAACAAGTGAATACAGCTAGTCATTCTTATCAGATTCGGGCAGTTCAGCACAAACAAATTTATTATAAGCTTCCGGAGTTTACAATTTATATTCATTATTGAGTATGATAAGAAAATGAGCATGTGGAAGACCGCGCTTTTGAAATTCAATAGTGTACACAAAAGCAGCAACTTTTCCAAATGTATTTCTCTTTAGTATATCTGTTTTCATCTCCTCTACCTTAGCTCTAAATACTCGACTAATTAAATCGGGTCTATTTTGTACCTCATCTGTTACCAATAAATGTTCTTCTATCTCTGGCCATGATGAATTACATGTCATTGTTAAAAGTATATCATGTTTCCCAAAATTTTGCATTAACGCAATAGTGTCTATATATCGTTGGCGCATATCTCTAGGACCTCCTATAAAACTTGCCGGTAAAAAACTTTGTCTGCCTATGTTGCACGCCTCTCGCTCACCATGTTTTAGAACATCAAGAATCCCCGCTAGCGCATCAATTCGAAATAAATCTTGATTAAATGAATAGAAATCTAACCTTTGAGTCTCAAGCTTGATGAATTCGTCAACTGGGTATTGTTGGAATACTCTTCCAGCATGTAAAACTCCATTTTCTTCGCCATCCCTCATTTAGAGCTTGTAACAATAATATTCACGGCATGACAGTATTTCTTTTTCGTTTCTTTTTTTCCAGAAGTTCTGCTTCCATGTCAAGTAGCATGTCAACTGAACACATGTTTTGTACACTTGGTAGCTGTTCATTTTCACAATAAGTTCTGTGGCTAATAGTATTATTCATTCGAGTAATCTTTTTAATACCACAGTGCCATCCGTTTTGTCCATAAGGAAATAGCAATGGATACTGCAATGGATCATAACAACCATAGTAATAATTTACCAATTGGCTTTTATTACTATGTGTATAAATTCGAATATGTGGTAGAGAAATCTTAGAACTACTTTCATCTTCTATCCATATTGCTGCTACTTCAGATGATGTTGGTAAATTATATGTTCTTTGATCTAAACCAGAGTCAGACTTAAGCGTAATGTAGAACTTTGATAATTCTAGGATATCTATTAAAGATTTCAAAAAGATAGAGTATGGATTAACTTTTAATGTGTCCATCAAAGTCCTGATAACCGATTCGTTAAGCTTGTCAGAGAATGCCATGCGATTTGCTAGTTCATTATCAGTATCATAGAAATACAACTGTATATTTTTGGCTGGTTGGCTCGAAGGTAGGAGGTCATTTATGAAATGATACATTTTCCTTTGAACTCTAAGCGTATAAATACCACAATTTCTTCTTGCTAAATCTCTGTCATAATTCACTCCAACAGAAGTAAATGCAAATATATTATTATACAATCTAACATAAGTGCGAAAATGTTTGGACTCCTCAGAGTTTCCTAAATAAAGATTTAAGAGTTGAGCAAGTAGTCCATAGTGAATCAATTTCACTGATCCATTATCACAGCAAAATCTCAGCGATTCATATTGAAATCTTTTGACTCTACAAAATTTACAATTCGGTACAGTTTTCAGTCTATAAGGGCTATTGGGCAAGTTAATAGTGTTCGATTGACCCAGTTTTTTAGATCTACGACCTGTGTTTTTTGGGGTTAACCAAAGGGAAAAAATTTCAATCTTGAAAAATAAATGACTAAAATGACTTTAAAGTTATAAGAAACCAAACCTCTATTTGCAGTGTTATGCATAGTAATATCATTCTGTTCAGCGCATGTTCCCGATGTGGACCCTAAGATATAAGGAATCAAACATATAAGTTTGGTGGTTTAAACATTCTACATATTTGAATACCATACTTTCACACTTACCAACTTCAAAAATATAGAAGCTATCACGTACATCTCTGACATTATTAGAAATAGGGGGAATCCTGAACTGTGGAGATATTTTCTAAGACAAAAAAAGGTGTTATGAACGTATTAAATATGTAAATGTTTAATGTCTCAAAGTTCAGTTCAGGATAACAAAATCTTAGTTTACAAACCTGTTCTCAAAATAGAAGATGAGCCTTCTCTTAGAGCAACTGCTTGTTCAACAAACTCTCCATTAAATTGATAAGAAGTTGATACTTCAGTGGAACTACTGATTGGCTTCTGCGTTCTAGAATGAAGATATGTCGATCGTCCCTGCAATAAGTTCAATTCTCTTCTATCAGCTGATGTCGCCCTATATATTTCACGGCATCTTTGTTTTATTTTGGTGCCTCTTTCTGCAGAGCATTGGCGTTTTCAGCATATTGAGTCCACGTTTTTGCCCAGCCTAGACATCTTGGTAATTTCATCTGTGAAAGTTTCACATAAATTAAACCAAAACTTACAAATAAAATGTATGCACTACATAACAATGAACACCCATATGCATTGCAGAGACGATACACAGAACAAACTAACGAATTGTTGATGTAAAGTACGATAAAATAAAGAAAATTAGCAGGCAATAAAAGTAAAACGTAGATATTTTTAGTAGAAGCAGAGTTGAGCAAATTCTACAACTGAAGCAAATAAATGAAAAAGACAGGAAGTTGCTAAGTTTTAATAAATAGAACAAGTACACCCATTTTTATGCAACGTATGTAATGAAAGAAAAATAGGTAGCTTAATTAAAAACAAGAACAAAAGGATAAACAAATAAAGCGTACAAGTTTCCTTGAAATCAAAAGAACTGCAGAGTTCAATGTTACATCAAGAAATTAGCAAGAGGTCCTACTTTTAACAAGTACTACTACTTTTCACTTCATTCTAATAAATTGCACTTATGATCACCACCACTAATACTTACAAATTACTAACGTTATCATCCATGACAAGAACTTAAGTAGATAGCAGAAGATTCAAAAATGAACCATCAAATTTCACCAGTTACATATAGAATTTTGATTGATAGGAACAGTGTTAAAGAAGTATTAGTTTTCTAACAAACATATTAGATATTATATTGGTTGTAGAACAACGTATTTCTATGTTAATTTCTGAGACATCACACAAAAGTAAGCAGATTGAAATAAGAAGTAGAATCTTTTGACAGAAGCTGAGATCTCAATGTGTTGAAAGGTACATCAAATCAAGTAGAAAGCTCTACATGGACCTTCTATATCCAACGCAGTGAATGTTCGAATGTTGCCGCAGAAGTATCTTTTTTCTGGGAACATGGTCAACCAGAAATTATTATGTTCACAATATAAGCGAAGAAAATTTTGCTTAACTTATTGGATAAAAAATATCCTATTTAGACGCGTATGTTAACTATTCCACAGTTGATGTTACTCATTCCAATTACAAAGATATTTTTCTCTTGACTATCTACCTAGCTACAAATACTACTATATCACTCTATTTACAATGTTGTTCTATCCCAAAAAATATGAAATAGTAGATATATCAACCAGTGTTATTAAAAGCGCTCGCTTCTCGCTTTAAGCGATGAAGCGAGGCGAGGCACAGGGTTAGCGCTTTTCTGCTAAAAAGGCGACTCACATTCAAAAAGCGTGCGCTTTTCTTGCTTAAGCGAGAAGCGAGACGATAGAAAAAGCGAGAAAAAGCGTGCTTAAGTGTGACGACCCGACCCGTCGTCTCGTGAGTTACCGCCCCGTTTTCCCCATTTCCTATTTATTTATGCTTCATTATCATTGTTGGGTGTGAATGAGTTGATTTGGATTGGTTTTAGTAGGAAATGAGACACTTAGTCTCTTTAAGGAAGGTTTGTTTTGGAAAAGTCAACCGGACGTTGACTTATGTGTTAGAGGGCTCGGATTTGAATCCCGATGATTCGTTTAGCTTCGGGGGATGATTTGTAACTTAGGAGTGTGATCAGAAGTAATTTTGGAGGTCCGGTGTAGAATTAGGCTTGAATTGGCGAAGTTAGTATTTTTGGCGAATTCCGGTTGATAGGTGAGATTTTGATCCGAGAGTCGGAATGGAATTCCGAGAGTTGCTGTAGCTTCCTTAGGTGATTAGGGATACGTGTGCAAAATTTCAGGTCATTCGGACGTGGTTTGGTCGGGTTTTTGATCGAAAGTGTATTTCGGAAGTTTTTAGAAAATTAGGCTTGAATTCGATGAGTTTTGGGTAATTTGATGTTGTTTAAGGTGTTTTGATGATTGCAAGAAGTTTGAATAATGTTATGAATTATGTTGGCATGTTTGGTCGGGGTCCCATGAGGCTCGGATAAGTTTTGGAAGAGTTTTTGGAAGATTTTTTTTGTTTGAGCATAAGCATGTAATGATCCAAAGGTCCATTTTTAGTTCTAGAGATCAAAATTTTAT